ACTCAACCATTACCTCCACTGCATTACAAAGTATTCTATAGTAAAATGTAAGGAAAACTGTATAGCAAATCATATAGCACTATAGCGAAATGACTGAAAAAGAAAAATCACTGTTGCAATGGCACAGTCAAAGTCCAGGTCTTAACCTGATTGTGTCACGTTCATGTTTAACTTCCTGACCCTCATGCATGTGGGTTTGCTCAGGAACAGTAGATGCAAATGGTTTATTTACAATTAGAAAATGTGCAACAGTGTATGATCTGTGTTTTCGTCTACAGCAAGCATCTACAGAGAACAGAGAAGGTGGAGAAGGTAGAAGGAGGAGAAGATAAAATTATGAAGAACAAAGCTGTGAAGGATGACTGTGAAGCAGGTAAGTTATTTTGGGGAGAAGGTCTGTCACAGGAGGTAATGGCTCGATTGATCGTGAATGGAACAGGAATCCAAGAGCGGTTTGGACCTAGGAGGCAGAGAAAGCTTGAGGAATGAGTGACTCAGAGGTAAATTCAATATTACCTGAGAAGATTATCTTGATCATATCACCAGCTAAGTTTACTAAGAGGGCTTGACTCTACCATATTGGTTGATCATCAGCCAGGGAATGGCCATCCAGCAGCTCCTTTTTTTAAGATTTCTTTGCAGCACTAGTGGCCTTTTATTTTTATTTGAAAGTAGGCAGACAGGAAGTGGGGTGAAGAGAGGAGGCGAACATGAAGCAAAGCTCTTCAGGGTCAGGACGTGAACCAGGGACAGCTGCATTGAGGACTGAAGCATCCGTATATGGGTTGCACACTCAACTGCTACGCCACAAACCGCACCCCCAGCAGTTTCTTTTATCCATGGGGAAGATGCAGTCAGGTCCATGGGGAAGAAGAGCTGTACAGTTCCTACATTGCCAACCAGTAGAGATTTGCTGCACAGGGAAGAGTCTCACACATACACAAACATAACAGAATCATGACAAATTCAATGAGCTGAGGCAAGTTTGCAAAAATAAATGGGTCCAAATTCCTCCACAGTGATTGGAGACACTAATAAGATCATACGGATAACAAGTACCTTAAGTCATTGTTGCTTCAGTTGCATCTACTAGCCATGGAGTCATAGAGTGTATGCAGCATTTCTATATTAGCCTCAACCTAATAAATAATACAAAGTTTATTACATTCTGATACTTATATGCTCAGAGCTGAAAGAGTAACTCATAAAGCTGACATTGTTTCTATAATGACTATTGGGATAGAACTTCTGGAACTGAAATGTGTGCTTAAATAAGATGGTTGACAGTTTTATCTAAAGGATTGTGATGAAGAAAACCTACATTTGAAGCTAGATTGCTTCCGTGTTCCAAATTGAACAGCAAGCAAACAGCAACAATCACACATCCTTAATTCCGTGGTGAAAATTTTCACCTTTCTGTGCTTTAAACAAATATACTGCATTATCTCTGGAGCATTTCAAATTTATATCACTTACACAAAGAATCACTATTGATCTGGGCATCTCTACTACTATGAACTCTGCTAGTCAATGTGTGGTAATCTAAAGAATGATGTCATAATTTTTATTTTATTTTTAAACTTGTTCCCTGATGAAACTTTGAGCAAACGGCAGATGTTTTAAAACATGATATCACAGAACTGTTATCTGATTCCTTCTGATGAATTTCACCAGAGGTCCCTATGGAGCTAAAAGGGAGTCCACTCTGCATGAATTATTACCACATATAATTTCAGCTATTAGTTCTCTCTCCTGAACATCTGAACATGGAAAATGTGGAATTAGAAAATTAATACCTCTGAATATCATGGCAGGATTTTTTTTTGAGATGATGATTCATTTTCATGTTCTCGTATTTCTGTTTCTTTGTATTCTGACCACGTTTTTGACACATTTGAATGTTAAGATGGGCTCAAGCAGTTCTATTACCATACAGATTAACCATTTTGAGCTTTGCTGTGTTGAGTGAAAGAATTAGCTCTCAGGAAAGCTAAACAAAATACAGAAGCAAAGGAAAATGAAATGAAAAAGGATTATGTGTGTGCTGCTTCCCTCCTGTTTATGTCTGTAATCTTTACTGGGGTCAGTGTTTTTATCTAAATTGATTTATTTATGCTAAATATTTGTGCTCTTGGTAGGCAGGGTGGTTTAGTCTGACATTCTGTGTATGGTTAAACATTGTGTTTCTCTTATCTATATTCTAGCATATAGACTAAGGTGATGACTCATCTGCTGTAACAACAGGACATGGACAACAAAGACCTCCACAGCTTTTCTCCAGAGATCCACAATGGAAATACACTGTGGACTCACACATGCACACACTAGAAAACAGCATTAAGTAATCTGTTTAAATTGGCCGTTGAAAGTCTCTAGAAACCTCATAAACTATATAGCTAAAAGTATTTGCTGGACCCTCAAAATCATAGACCACAGGCATTGCAACAACTTCCATGGCCAAAGGTGTATAAAACGCAGAGATCGCCAGCAATCAGCAGAATCAATAACTGCAAAGCTCTAATACTGAAATCATATTAAACTCTGTGAATTAAGTATGGAATGTCACCCAAGTTCATTTGTGTCTGAAAGCAGATGAGCAAATACTTTTGGGCAAACAGGAGATTGTTTAACATTTCTCTAATTTCAACAGACTCGTATAAATTAATTCAGGTGAATTAAGCACTCTTCTTACTGATTCTACTCTGTTGTAAACACAAATCCACTAGTACACATGTAGAACATATTAAAACAAAATTTTAACAAAGGCCATAAAATAAAATATTCCTCCTTAGGCAAGAGCATTCAAATAATATTGTTGGGACCCACAGCCATGGATTTCAACATCAAAACTCTGGTAAAAACTTTTCTGGAACTTTCAAAATAAATTGCATTTAACTGACTTCCAACACAACTTCAGAAGGAGGAAACGGGATAACTGCGGACTTCCTGTGACGTCACTGCCCAAATAAAAGCACCGCTCTTGCTACATCCTGCCTCTTCCACGCCGGTTATCATCTGGATAGGAGGGGAAACAGCGCGTTAATGTTTCTTTCCTGGCAAAAAGACATAAACTCTTCAAACTGGATCCAAGGGTGTCATAAGATCACACGATCATATGCAAAGTTAAGTACGAATGAATCACTGTTTGTGTACCCGGTGATTTCATTCATAAAGAGAGGAAATTAAGGTATAAGCATTGCTTTACTTTGTCTCTGAGGCCTGCAGAAGCAAACTGTGTCCCAGAGGATTCCCCATAGAGATGCTGTCTCTACTAAGCCGAGTGGAGCTTAGTGTATGACATTGCACTTCATAAAGTAAAAATAACTTCTTGTAAAACATTTAAAAGATCATGTCGCCTAGCTGTAAGGAGGTGGCACAACACCAAATTATCATTGGACTTCGCAACCTACAAAAGATTACAAATTGAGGATCACAAAGAAATAAAAAGGGCTAGGGATCATTATTTCTCGCAAATCATCTTTGTTAATGCTGATAATATCAGGATCTTAGACCCTCGAATGCTACAGACAGACTTATTAATATGTGAATTCTACCCCAATTGAGTTTAATTCAGTTGAAAAATGGAATGATTTTTCTTCTCACTTTTGTTAAAGATTTGCAATATTAGAAATACTGTTGTGTATACAATTTCTGGTTCATATGCTTCTCCTCTCCTACAAATCACTCAATCTAATTTAACTCTCTCCAATGTCTTTCCAGTAAATTGACATGAGTAAGGAGACACCATACACCAATTAAACTATGCAACTAGTGCCTTCTATCCCATACCCACTAAGTTGTTTAAAACTTTCCTTGGTTGTTTGGTGGATGATAAGACTGACATTGTCAGTGCTTCCTTAACCTCTGGATTTGTTCTTGGCACTCCTAAACACATCAGTGTAACCCCACTGTTAGAAAAGAATACACTTGACCCACTTCCTTGGATAACTACAGACTCATTTTAAACCTACCATTTCTAGGTAAACTACTTGAAAAAGCGGTGTATCCTCAACTTCATATGTATTTAATCCAACAGTTTATTTTACACTTTCCAGTCTGGGTTTAGAACCAATCATAGTACAGAAACAACACTGGTTAGAGGTGTTACAATCAAAATTAGTCTTGTCCAACATAAAATCTGTTTTTATTCTCCTTGACCTTAGCACAGCTTTTGACACAGTTGACCATCCTATTGTTCTAAAGCGTTGAACATCATATAGGTCTAAATGGTCCTGTTCTTAATTGGCTGTCTTCATATTTCATGGGTAGAACGTTCTCTATTGCTATTAGTGACTTTGAATCTAATTAGGTTAACACTGATTACGGTGTTCCACAAGGATATATTCTTGGTCCTCTGCTGTTGAATTTATATATGTTTCCCCTTGGTTCTATCATTACACACCATGGTATCTATCATGTATATGCAGATGATACACAGTTGTACATATATGTTTCTGTTGAAAACATGAGCCTTGTTAATAATCTTATTATAAGAATGCCTTGCAGAAGTCAAAAATTGGTTGTCCAGAAACTTTCTAGTTGATTGTTAACAAAACTGAGATAATTATTGTGGGCCCTGACAATCTGGAAAACCTCATTTATCTAGTTTTGAACTCTTTGTTGATTAAGCAACATGAGCGCGTTAAAAGCCTAAGTGTGACCTTAGATTGCCATCTCAATTTTCAAAAACACATCCATAATATATCATGGTCTGCATTCAAGACAACCAGTAGAGGATGCTATAGGCTATTAATTGGGACGTTGGAGGCAGTAAAGACAACAGTTTAAACAGTCAGTCAGTCATTTTCTACCACTTATTCCATAGTGGGCTGTGGGGGAGCTGATGCCTATATCCAGCAGTTTATGGGCGGGAGGCAGGGTGCACACACCCAGTCACACACCTAAGGGCAATTTAGAGTGACCAATTAACCTAACAGGCATGTCTTTGGACTGTGGGAGGAAGCCAGAGTACCCGGTGAGAAGCCACACATGCAACCTCCATGCCGAAATCATGTGGGATTTGAACCCAGGACCTTCTTGCTGCAAGGAAACAGTGCTACCAACTGCGCCACCATGCAGTCCCTCAATAAGAATGTATGATGGGAAATGTATTTTGGAAATATTTTATTCATAAATCATAATTCGTTAGATTAAGTCCCATGACCTTTATGTTCAATATGTGAATTGTTTGATTTGCTTTAATAAGATCCTTCATCATTTACTGTGGTTTAGTCTTAAATATCCAAGTATCTCTCATTTGTTTTCCTATTTTCTTTCAACACTGCAGGCTTTAAATAGGTGGTTGATGGATTGTATTATTCCCAGTGCTGTTTTGCGTTTATGTTTATAATTTTATATAGTTTTATAAAAGTTGCCAGTGCAATAAGGTTGTGATCAGTTCACCCGATCCACTCAAAAAAAAAAAAAAAAAAAAATCAAACATGTCGGTTTTAATGCTATCGAAGTCAGGTTGGGTCAGGTCGATTCTTGTGAAGGTAGTTTTTCACAGACTCAGTGGCGCTGCTACAAGACGTAGAGCCCACCTCTGTTGTCCAACAGAAATAGAGATCGAGTCTATTTTTGACAGATGACTGAGCACAAACGGTTGATCCCAAATGCAAAATCACATTCAGTGTGAATTGCCGCATGGCACAATTTGCGATAGATAATGAAGCAGACACAGAAATGAAAAGAAGTGTGAACTCGGGGTAACAGATGTTTGAGTCGACTCGCCCTGCAGACTGACCATGACTAGCACAGACTGACACAGACTTTCCCTGACTGGTAATCAGAGGTAAAATTGAAGAAATAAATCATGTAATGTCCCCAGCTTTCGTTAGATATACTTTTAGCGATCAGTAGAATTCACTGAAATTGAATTTTATAAAAAACATAGCTTTTTCTTGGAGCAAGAGTTTGCTTTGGAAATGGGTGAATACCTCCACCTGAATTATTTTAATAGAACCACTTACTAAAGAGAAACGGTGAGAATATGACTCTAATAGTTTAGAACTGACCTACAAATGTCAGAGTGAAGCTTCCCTCCACCCTAAAGAACATGTTTAACTGGTAGAATATTTCAAGCCTTAGTACAGTAAAACAAAGCCTAAAGTTTTAATGAAAGTAAGTCCTCAGTTGCTGTGCTGCTAACAAAATTTAGAGGATAATTAATTTCATTATTTCTTTCCAATCAAAATTTTTATTTCTGAAGTGAAATCATAATTTATTTATTTATTTAAGTGAGACTTCACAAAATCAACCCTGTTAGCTGGTTCTTTGCTTTCATTATGCATTTTGTGACTTAATAATGTGGGAAAATAGTAAGAGTCAGAAGTAAAATCTAACTTTTTTGAAAAGAAAGAACTTCTGCAAATTATGATAACATAGTAAAGGTTACGTAATTTTATCATCAGACCATATCAGATAAAGCCCATGATTTTACAAAAGCAATTGCAACGTATGAAAGCTAAGCCATTTTTTCCCTTAAAATGATGATCTTTTACATAATATAAATTATAAAATCATATTAAGTTGTTTCAATCATATTGAAAATGTTTCATCATTTTCATCATTCTTTGAACTTTCAATAAAAATGTCTAAATAATGTTGCAAATAAAAGCACATTCCTGGGCCTGTTTTTATGCCAAACAGGTGGGTAATGTATGTAGATAGGACCCTCTGAGTAGAAGTCAAAAGTCCCCTCATAGCTGTGTTCTTGAACTACAAATGTTGCTTAAATCTCATTTTAGTCTTTTTTTTTTTTTTTTTTTTTTGTGGCACTAGTGGCCTTTATTATTATTATTATTTTTTTTTCATTATTTGAAAGTAGGAAGAAATGTGGGGTGAAGAGAGGGGGAAGACATGCAGCACAGGTCGCTGCAGGGATGGGACTCAAACCAGGGGACAGCTGGGTTGAGGACTGTAGCCTCTGTATATGGGTCGCATTCTCTACTGCTATGCTACGCACCGCTCCCTGTTTTAGTCATCTCAACACAATTTAATAACTGTTCAATTGCTACAAGCAAGTAGCAACTCAATGCATTTAGACGACTTGCTGAGGTTCAAATCGAGCATCAGTATGCAATTGCTTCAGGAAATGGGGATCTACTGGGATACTCACAGGCAACCATCTTCCAGTGAGCAGAGGTTTTGTGGAGGAAAATGTCTTGTTGATGTCAGAGGTCGGAAAGGAAACAGTCGCTCATATACCCAAACAATGTATGGTGAATATAATCTTTGAGCCGAACATGTTGAACCTTAAAGCAGATGGGCAACTGCAGCATAAAGCCACAACGGGTGGCCTTTCTGTCAGTGGAAAACAGGAAACTGAGGGTAAAATTTACACAGGCTCCAAAACATTAGAAAATATCATGTTGGAAAACAATGAGCTGGTCGAATTATTCTCAGTTTCAGCTGTGACATTCAGATGGTAGGTTCATAATTTGCTATAAACAACAAGAAAGCATGCTGCCTTAGATCAACTGGTCAGGGTGGCACTGGTGATGTAATGGTGCAGAAAAGTTTCCTTGGCACACTTTGGACCCCGTTGCTCCACCTGAGCATTGTTTTAACCCCACAGCCTCTGACCATGTCCATCCCTTCGTAATCACTGTGTATCTACCTTCAGATCGTTACTTCCATCAGCATTATGCAAATGTCACAAAGGTCAATTTACATGTCAGTGAGCTCATTGTACTCCAATGGCCTCCACCAGGCAAGTGAGTGTGTATTGCTTTAATACTCCACCTGCAAATGTTTGTTTTGCTTTGCTGTGCATGCATTTCACTCAGTTCAAAACTGATTGAACTACTGAAAGAGATGCCAAAAGAGATGGTGTCTCTTTCAGATTCTTGACCTGTATTAGTAATACCTGCCAAACCCCTGTTCATTTTCTGCTATCTCTTGCTTGACTCTTACCCCAGCCACCATTTTTGCAGTACATCCTTGTTTCAGTCTTTTGCTCCCTCTCTATCTGACCTTACAGAAAATAAGTCATGTGGGAGGCTCCCACCTCAAAGTTCAGCCAAATGTTAGCAACAGAGGGAGGGATGTTCCTAAAGAGGAGCACTTGTTCTCTCACTCTTTGTCAAACACTTCTTTCTCCCCTGGCCTCCTCCTCCTCCTCACACCTCCCCTTTTTAACTTACCATTTTTTAGCTCCCAGCAGAAGCTTTCTGGCAGACTTCTCGAGACTGGCATCCAATGATAGCCAAGTATTCTGACACCATTAGATGCTGCAGGGAGAGGAGGCAGATGAACAGTTGTCTGGCAAACCCAAACACCTGTATTCTGTCACTGATTTGATGGTTATTCCTCATCCCTCCATCTCTCTTCTCATTTGCCTCCCTCTCCATCACTCACCTCACTCTGATCTCCCTCCTTGTCTGTCATACGAGATCTGTCAAGATTTCTGTTGCCAGGAGATGTGTGTGTACGTGTGAGTACACTGTTGATGTCTAGGTACAGTGCTTGTGTGTTAGTGTGTGCAATATTTTTTAAGGCAGTGACTAGGGAGACCATTTATTAGATAAGGAAAATGGGAGCCTTTTCAAAAGAGTGGCAGGGGTTAAAAGAACACTTCTGTCAAAAACATGTCACTGAGACCTCTGTCACATCTAATGTTTCTCTGTCTTTCTGTCCAATTTCTCTAATTTTTATTGATTCTATTCAGCTGTAATAGCTTTATCAGTTTGTTCAAGCAATGACTTTTACTTATTCACTACTTATTATTCATTCAGGCAAAACTCTTACATCCTTAATGCAAAGCTCTTAAATATTCTCTCTTTGCAAAGGGCTGAAAAGTACAGCAGTCTACAGTGCCCTGCCAAACTTTTGAAAAGATTTCATCATGTTTTAATGACAAACTTTAAACACAAAGTAGCTCATAATTGTGAGGTGAAAGGAAAGTAATACATGGTTTTAGATTAAAAAAACAAAACAGAAATTGCATGTATTTGTAGAACCACCTTTTGCAATGATTATGGCTCAAATTCATTTGTGCTATGGCTTTACTAGCGTTGCACATCTAGAGACTAAAATGAATGCGTATTGCCCTTTGTCACAAAGCTTGTCAAGCTTAGTCAGATTAGATGGCCAGAATCTATACAAGCATTTTTAAAATCTTTTCACAGATTCTTAACCAAATTTAAGTCTGGATTTTGGACCATTCTAACACATGAATATGCTTTCTAAACCGTTCCATTGCAGCTCTGACTGTTTGGGGTTGTTGTCCTGCTAGAAGATGAACCTTTATCTCGCTTTCAATTCTTTAGCTGCCTCCAACTGACATATTGGGAGGTAACTTTGTGACCCACATGCAGAACCACGAACAGACAACCAAAACAGTTTGTAACTTATTTATTTAATACACTGGGGCGAGTCTGGGATTGGTACTGGTTGGGGCTGGAACCTGGAGCCCTGTGAAGGACAGTTGGGATTAGCAAGGGAAGATGAGGAGTTGTGCAGATCATTGACTGCGTGGAGGAAAAGGAGAGGGCTTACGGTGCTGGTCAGAGAGGAAGGCTGGGAGGTACGGTCGTCGATGCAGAGGTTTGTTCTGGGAAGGTTTACTCCGGGGGTCCAAGTCGGTAAGTCCGTGGGCAGCGTCGGAGAGCAGGCAGGCTGGTGAGCACAACTTGTCCGAGAAGGGGAGTCCGTAGGAAGTGAGCAGGGCATCGGGCGCAGGCAGGAGAGTGAACTGCTGGGCTTGGTTTGTCCGGTTGGTTATGTTCTTCGAAGAATGAAGATGGTCTCCAGAATGCAGACAGCTTACAGGACTTGGGGTTTACAGTAGAGGTAAACTTAGGACAGACTGAACAGAGCTAACTGGTCACTAGACAGGTTTCTCAAAACGAATGACATGGAGGTTTGAGGTTACCACTCATGTGGGATCATCAGGCGATGAATGCATGTCTTGCAGCTCCTTATAAGCGCCTCTGTCTCCCAGGTGTGCGGCATTAAGCCTATCACCGCTCATAAGTGACTTTCCTCATTACAGACAGACTCAGACAAACACATAACAAATCCCACAACATGACACTAACAGGTTTTCTTCCAGGATTTTTCTGTATTTAATTTC